TCTTCAACATCGTCCTTATCAGCTTCGACAGGTTCATCTCTGTCACCAAAGCGGTAAGGGCTGGGCAAGTGGTCCTGAGGGGGGGCTGCCGGGGCTCCCAGGGTGCCCTTTGAAGCAGGATGGTTTGCTGAGGTCACCTGGCTGTCAACCCCATTGCAGCTCACTCAAACACCACAGGAGACGGGGGGACAGAGGCAGTTCCCCTCGGTTCTGGAAACAGTTCTTGGAGTGATCAGCTCCGGCAGAAAAGATGTTTGTTTCTCACTTTTGCAGTGGCAGAGGTACTCTTTTAAAAACGGGCAGAGTTTATATATGCTGCTGTTCAGCTAGAAGGGCAGAGCGAACAGGTGCACTTATTTCCTCCCCAGCCACACCCTGGCTAAGCCTGACAAGTATTACCCAGCTGAAACAGATCACCGTCCTCAGAACACGGCAATGCACCTGCTGCCAACTGCTAGCCCAAGCCAGCCTAGCTGCATCCCAAAGCAGAGAGAGATCTCCTTGCAACAGGTACCAGACTCGCAGAGAGAACTAGATGTATGCAGCTGTGTATGGTTAAAAAGCAGCAGAATTAATATCTTTAATTAATATCTTTCAAAGGATGCAAATGCTATTTCTGTGTAACAGCCACAGAAATAGCTAGAGCCTTGCCTCAGTCATGCAGCATGTCAGTTATTGAAACAGGAGACTAGGCTTTGCAAAAATCAAAAACTTCATGTTCACCTAGACCATACTACCTCAAAGTATTTTGGACAGTGCTGAAATAACATGTTTTACACACACTTCTTCAGCCCCCTGTTACACTCATGTTTCCTTAAAACATTAATTTAGCTTCGTTGTTCATTCTAAAACACACTAAGAGGCAATGATACTTTTTTGGCAAACAGTACAAAGAGAGGCTGCAAGATCACTCCAACAGTTTATGTGCAACTTAGTGTTTTTCCAACTTATTTTTGAAAAGGGAGAAATGAACAGACTAATTCTTAAACAGTCAACACTTACAATTCCTTTATTTTCTAGGTTCTGAATTAGCCATGAATTTGGTTTTCATAAACCAAGCTCTCATGACTATATACATAGTATAAATATATAGACTGGATAGTTTCAGAAACAGAAAGGGAAATGGGTCATAGTAAATGAAAAATAAAACACCAGACCATTTAAAATACTTTGAATTAATCCTCCATATAAAATCCCTCCCCAAGCAAAAGTACAGAAACTGCCTGTTGGGTTAGGGCAGTATAAGAACATAAGAACAGGAATATATGAAGTTCTAAATTAGTCTCTATTCTCAATGAAAATGGTAATCTTCCTACAAGACTGCTTCTGAAATCGTTAGCAGCTTTGTTGAGGACTGCAAAATGAGAGCTCATTCAGACAAACTCAGGATTCTTCAGCTGTGTGGGTATTCTCCCAGAACAGTATTGGCTTTGGAGATCAAGATCCATAGACTGGGGCAGTAAACATGAATCCTATACAGAATTCAAGCTTCAGGACTTCATACTCCAAAACACTGTGTGGCCACTGTAGAGATGTGAAGATTGAGTTCCAATTCACTATACGAATATTGTCCAGTACACCAGGGAATTAGAATATTGAGAAGTAGAAGATGTTGATTTTAAGATTCTATGGAATTCTATTGCTGATACAATTTACTGACTCAATAGTACTGACATGCGACTTTTTTTTGCACCTTGGTTTCTCTATCTTCTAAACGAGGGAAATTAGTTACTCTTCCTGTAAAGCACTTTGCAGATCAGAGCACTCCATCTATACATCTTAATTGCAGATAAGAGTTCTGCAAGTACTTCATAAAAGAATGAAATTAAGGATATCAAAAAGTAAAAGCTGTTATCCATTAAGATTTTTTGTGTGATTTTCACATTAAGAAAAAAAAATGCTCTCTACAAAGCAGAAAGAAAATAACATGCATGGTTGTTCTATGAATTCAGATCCTTTTATGTATTTTAAATTATATTATTTAAAAATTCTAAATAAGTGAATTTTGAAGGCCCATGTTTTTAGACATTCTGTAAACTGCTATCACAGCTAATGCAATTGAACACATAAGCAACTGGTGACAACGGGTCCTAGGAACAGCAGTGGTTATTTGCTTTGGAAAAGCCTTGGTTTTCTCGTTTTTAAGATACGATGAACATTCTCAGAACATATCCAGTCACCTTGATAATGTTTATTGGAACGGATATTTCAGAAATAGCTTTTCCATGGTACTGGTAAGCTCAAAGTGACAGAGGGCCATGCTCCAAGGTAGCCATGTAACTGTTTGAGATACCAGTAACGTATGTGACAACTTTTCTCTTTCTCAGGTCAGTTACAGGGCTCAGAAAGGGATGACAAGAAATGCAATATTGAAGATGATCATTGTATGGATTGCTGCTTTTCTTCTCTATGGTCCAGCAATTCTCAGTTGGGAGCACATTGCCCAAAAGAGCATCCTCCCTGAAGGACAATGTCATGCAGAATTCTTCTACAACTGGTATTTCCTTATGATTGCCTCTGCTCTCGAATTCTTTACACCCTTCATCACCGTTACATACTTTAACTTAAGTATTTACCTCAACATCAGGAAACGCGCATCCCTCAGAAATGAAAACCTATCACCTGGTCAAGACAACTGTGAAATGACCTTCCAGCGGGAAAAAAGGGAACACACTATATTTTTTGTAAAACCTGCTAACAGACACAAACACGAGAAGAGAGCAAGCAGCCTTTCTCCTCAAAAAAAGGCTTCAAGGCTCAGCCTATGTAAGCTTGACAATCAGCCAAATCTGAATGTCAATCAAGACCTTCCACCACTTCAGGTGGAAGTTGAGACCAAGCCTCATAGGAATGGTGTCTGCAAAACTACAGAAAGCATATGCAATGGCACCAACAGAGTAGACATTGCTAACACTATGGCAAACAGATTTAGACTTTCCCGGGATAAAAGAGTAGCAAAGTCTTTAGCAATTATTGTCTGTGTGTTTGGTTTGTGTTGGGCTCCATATACGCTTTTGATGATCATCAGAGCAGCTTGCCATGGGCACTGTGTGCAGTATTCACTCTATGAGACTTCATTCTGGCTTCTGTGGGTGAATTCAGCCATTAACCCTGTTCTATACCCACTGTGTCACATGAGCTTTAGGAAAGCCTTTATAAAACTCCTATGTCCAGGAAAAGCCACAATTCATCCTCATATTTTTATGTGAGAAAAGGAAAGTGTGAAGGCTGACAATTAGTACATCTTGCTTTCAGTGGAAGCATAAACTGGCTAATATTCACCTGCAAGTATTAAGTGCAATGTGGACTGTGGAGTTTATGGAATACTGGTAAGGTACAAGTGTAGATATTTATGAATGTATAGAAATAGTCATCCATGTAGCTGGAGAAATCAGAGCCATGAAAAATAAAGGTAATTTCTCAAAGCTCTTTGGGAAATTACCCCAACAACATATTTTCTGGTAATGGTGCACTAACATTAAAGTGCTGAAAAGGGAATACAACATTCATGGCCAATAATTAGAGTTCAGGCTCTCTCACTTCTAATAACTGTAAATATTGCTGGTAAGGAATTTCGTAAAGTGTCACCCTTGGACCTGTTATATTTTACCCCGAAAACTCACTCTAGGACACCAAGGGTCTCAGCTGTTAAGTGTAGTATATGCTTTTCTGCCACTTAGTAGCAAGCCAGACAAGATCATGACCAATGCAAAATCCTAAATACTGGTGTCCAGGAAAAGCATGGAACAAGAGGCACCAGAACAGTCAGGTTACCAGAGAAGCAGAGCAATTGTAGCAGGTCAGGGAGCACTGATAATTTTTAGTGGAATTAAGTTCAGAGACAGGAACATAAAAGGGTTTTGAACTTTATGATAAAAGAATTGAGAGTTTATACACTGGAAGAGTTTCACCACGAGTTGCTTCCCTCAGCTTTGACTTCCTGCCCCCTGCCAGGATCCTGCATGGGCAGGAATCTATTCAAGTCAAACCTCTACTCCTTACCAGAATGACAGGTATTACTCTTCTATCATTTGCTCTAAGTATAGAGTAAGCATAATTAGTCCACGAGAGCTATGACAGATCTTGCTATAGACATAGCTTTAGGTAAACTTCCCTTGGAGTAATTTTTAAAACATTTCCAATTAGATTTTTACTGTTTCTAGCTAGTTCTGAAAGGGAAAAAAAAAATGTTGCTTTCCCCTACCCCACCCATTGGATCTATCCATCCATCAAGTCATCAGTGGTCAAAAAAAAGTATTACTTGATGCATCACTTGGAAAATATCTGAACACTTCACAAATAGCATTACTCAAGAAAAGTCTGTTAAAATTTACAGCCTTGCTGTTGACCATGAGTGTGAAAAAGAACGTAAACAACTACACACTGTTTCTGCCATTCTGCCTCTGCCACTAGAGAAGCTCACACAGCTAGATCCTGAGTTTTGACTAGATTTGTCCTACAAAAGGTATCAATTTGAACATCACTAATGATACGAGTTTGTTTCCACCATCATCATAAGCATCTTCTACATAGCTTAACACTTTTCTTTGCTAACCACAGTGATAGCTATTGAACTGCCATAGCTGTCCACTGCTGCAGCCAAAATGCATGTTAGTACCGTCGATCTTAAAAGTTTACAGATAGTATTTTGATATTATTTACTTTGTAAAATTTCAATAAAAGTAATTGAGAACTGTGGAAGAGTCATAACTTTGTAGCCTTAACAAGTGGTACATGGGGAAAAGCACTAGCCTACAACATCTGGGTAACTGCAGTTGAAACCACAAAACCATTATTCAAAGACAATTTCTAAGTTACAAGGACTAACCTTGAGGATTAAACAAACATGGTTAGCAAATATTGTAAACTAGGAGGGTGTATCCCTACTATATTAATGTATCTACATTAACATGATCATCATGTTCTGCTCTAGATGTTTCATAACAAAACAATCAGCTTAACAGTTCTCTTAAGAGGCACAGCATCAACAGATACAGAGCACCATTAAGATTTCTGAATAGCATTAATTGTATCACTGGGCAAGTAAAGCCATTAGATTATCTGCCCATTCCTCCTTCCCTCCAAGCCAGACTTGTACATCAGTAGAGCAATGATCTAATCATTGTCTGCTCCATCATTCTTGTTTCCTAGGATCATACTTGCCTTTTTCAGAAAACAGGCAGCACTCAATTATTGGATGTTCCCACCAAGGTCTCATTATTGGACACTCCCACCAAGGTCTCATTCACTGTCCAATCAAGCCAGGACAATTTTCACAACAGTGGTCAACTCAAGCAGCAAGGAAGTTCAGTTAGCTTTAGAACATTAAATCCAGTTAAGATAGACATTTCAAAGTTTTCAGCAACTGGCATTAACCTACAGACTAGGAAGCGTTCACAGGAGTTGCCACTGGCCATTACTGTACTGCTCAATTTCCTACAGCTTTGTCAGTTAATTGCCACTTGTCTCTAGCACAGAGCTAGAATCCAGTAGGATTCTCCACCACTCAAGATAGTTCATAAAAGCATTCTGAAATGCGAACACACGTTGTCTCAGCATCATTTGGAAAAATACTGGTTTTGAATGATAAAAATCCTACATTGGAAATGCTAGCAGCCTCCCAGCTTGTACAGGTTAACTATGCCTTGATTTTTCTGCCCCTACGAAACAGAAGTTCCTTTGCTTTTATCAGAAGGTTCAACATTAGCATTGGGTTCATCAGTGGGCTCTGAAGAGACATGAAACAACAGATGTTAATAGCAACTTTATTGTTTTACTGGTGCAAAATCATGATACCGAATAAACTTGTGTAATGAATTTTCCCCTAAATTTACAGTAACGAAGGTTATACATATCTATATAGATTGCAGTTTCTCTATTTTTATACTATTTGGAACAAAATTATCTTGATAAATATGCCCTGTGCACAGTACTGGCCCTCACTGAATGTCACAGAGCCTTAATATGCAAAATATAACTTCTGGTTTTGAACATGGTACTTTAAAACTCTCCAAACATGCATTAATATATTCTAGTTTTTAGGGAAAAATATTACACTTAGTCTTAACTTGCATTAAAAGAAAAGCACAAGCAGAATCTGACATACAGTAATCCCAAAAATCTGATGCTCTGTACGGATCAGACACAGTTTCAGATGACAGTCACTGCCAGTTTAGAACTCTAGTGCTACAGAAGCAACGGTGAACAGACAGAAGAGAAATCAGAACCAAAGAGCCCTACCATGTCACATGGATTTCAAAGAAAGTTTCAGCCATGCTAACTGATGAAACCTGTAGTTGCTGGTCCAACCTTTCAAATTTGTTAGAGTACTCAACACAAGTGTTTGAAGTGCCAGACTGAACACATGAATGTTAACTTAACTTGACATTTCTGAAAGGCACAACCTATGAATCTATCTTAAAAAAAAATAAGGTATGTAAATGAAAAGAAGTAAGTACAGTGTGTATCTTCCTAAAGAACAAGACCTTCATAAATTGGCCCCTCAGATTCTGGTGATTCCCTCCTCAGACGCAAGTGCTCCAGTGTGTTGTGAAAGTGTTTGTTAATTTGTTCTGTTTCTTCAGTAGACTCAAGGTTTGGGAGATCTTCTCTTATCTTCTGTATAAGTTGATTCAAAACCTGAATTGTCACCTACAGAAGAACATAAACAGAAGTCATCAGTAAGACCTGTGTATAAGCGCATAGACATTAGTTTTAAAAGACTTGTCTCTAAACTATTGGTAAGATTGTATGAAGACAAAACGTTAGAGACTGCATTCTCTTGCTCCTCGCAGGACCATTCTGATTTCAGAGTTCTGTGGAAATTCCCCCTATCCCAGAAAATGCTAAGAACTTAAGTTAACCTGATAGCTTTGTAACTTTTACCACAGCATCTCTCTCCAGTTTATTCAATACAAATTTAAAAAGCTTTAAACAAATAAAGCACGTAATCAGATTGTCTACGTACTCTAACATAATCTGTCTCTTGTGGAAGTCAGTCAGGATGACTTTAGATCAGATCTAAAGTTACTCTAATGACCAAGTCATTACCTAGGAAAGTACAGCTGCCTATGGTGTCGAGTCCAGCACTGCACAGAACACCACAGAACAAAACGCACTGCACACCCCCACTCTCTATCCAGAGACTATTTTTACAGCTGCCAAGTGCTTTGAAATTCGAAAGTTGTATTTTCACCTCCATCAGTAAAGCATCTCCTATACTAGAGTACTACTATCGTGAGAAGCCAGTTCAGTTGCTGAAAAATCATCAAATGCCTAAAATGGCTTCAGATGTTCTTTAGGAACTACAGGGTATTCATTAATGTCTGCTCTTGATCAAATGATGACATCGGAAGCGATGCTGATCTCTACTTGACCAAGCAGCTTTTTCAAACTGGATAAGTTTACTAGTTACCTGCTAACAGCAAGTGTATGAGAACTATCTCAGACTTCAGATGCAGAATTTAAGCTGGTATATGAGAAGTCATATCCATTTCTTGAAATTAAAGCTTACGCCAACCATTTGTGGCACACTCAGCAGTGACCTTCAACAGCTGTAAGAATTTTCTTTCCCTTACATATATATATTAAGTTAGGTACCTCCAAAGTTAAATATTTCAGGTATCCAAGTCTCACAGTATTCAAGCTCATAATTAAGCTGCAAACATTTGTTTTCCCCCCCATGTAAGAAGAATGAAGTTTTATCCACAATTTCACTAGCGTATCAAGAATTGACTACTCTTATTACCAGAACTTGTGTCTCTTGTGAGAGACAAAGAGACATGATCTGGGGTATAAGTGTGAATGAAAAGCTTAAAGAAATGCTATTATAAAAAGATGCAATAGAGAGAATACATTTCCACTCACCGCCTCATTTTCCTTTTCATAAAAATAGATATATCTATTCAGAATTTCTATGAAAAGCTGGACTTGCAGAGAAGGGTCCATGCACTGATTTGCTATCTTCAGAGCCTTCTTTAGGCATTCCATCACTCTTTTTCCTCCATGAAGCTAGAATGAAAAAAAAAAACCCAAAAGATAGAAGAAATAAAAGAACTGTTGGGATCTCCAGTATCTCTTCCCTTGGCACATATATGGCATTTCCTGGCAGTCTATCACAGAAACCCAAAACTACACAAACTGCAGAACAAGACGTCATTGAGAGCTTACCTTGACTGACTACCACCAGTTTTAAGTTTGGTGAGGGTTT